GGGGTGTTTTGGTTATATTCATTGATGTGGAGAAACATGTTTGATTGTGGGCAAGACCATCCCCTGGGCATCCTGGGCATGTAAGATGGAGTGAATGACTTGAGCACTAGTGCCTTCCTTCTGTTTCTGGTCATGGATTCGATGTGGCTAGCTGCTTTCCGCTCCTGCTGCCTGGGTTATTCTCCGTGATGGATTGTACCCTTGAACCGATCTACAGTCCAGCTCTCCACTGGTATTCTGTGGTGGTTCCCCTGCAGACTTGATAGCAGGCTGGGAAAAAAATGGTTCACGAAGAGACAAGAATGAACCTCAGCTCAGCCCGATTTTATTGTAACCGGTGCTGGACCAGGACTTACAGGGTCTGGCCCAGATCATTTAACTTTAGCCAATACTTAAACACAGCACAATTTTGGAAAAAAGTATTCAGATAACAATGAACTCAGCCCCAAGTGCACGACAACTCAAGACATGTTTACATTGAGATTCTTTACAAAGTGCATCTGGATTCTTTCACAAACAGTGCTACAGTTGGCCCAGAGATAGTACCCTTGACTTAGAGTCCAGGGAGTTTGACCGAGGTAAACATAGTGCTGGTGGGTGTCAGGATTGACCTGGCCCTAAGATGACCTAGAAGTCTCTTAGGCTGTAGTAAAGCACAAGTAACGTCACTCGTAAGAGTGGGGTTTGTGGTCTAAAAACAGTGTTCAAGATATAGGGGAAAATGCCTTAAATAAGCAAAAACAAATTCTGGGAGATAAGGGCAGAGCCTGTCTATTAAGACAGCAAAGGATCAGCAGGTAGTAAAACGATATCCTAGCATTCCAGGAAGAGCAGCTGCGCACCTCAGCTGTTGAACTTTCCTGGCTTCTCCAGTGCTTACCTGTGTGCACAAGGTCTTTCTGTTCTGTCCAGTATCCTAACACACACACACACACACACACACACACACACACACACACACACACTGTTGACGCATCCTGTCTCTAGTCTTCTGTCAGTTTCTGTCTTGCTGCCCTCGTCCTGAAGTTAGGGTTTCTTCTGCCTTCATGTGGCACTTCCTAACCCTGCTCTGACCTCGCTCTTCTGGTGTTAGCCAGTGGCTGTGTTGGTCCACCTGTGGACCAGCCAGCTGCCTGCTGACCACCTCTGTGGACCGTGTCTACAACACCCAATAGACTGTTGCATCCACGTCAGTCAGTCTTTCTCAGCCCATCATTTTGCCTTCTGTTCTGTTCCTTTCCTTGTTCCATTGTCCAATTCAGAGGATGCGGTTCATTCAAAACTGTCCCGTTTTCTGTCGCCACAGTCAGTTTTCTTTACGGTCTGAATAGTTTTTCTTTGTTTTATTTCCATTTCTTTGTTTTTGCGGCATCGGTTGGTTTGAAAAGGGGTCTTGATGTGTAGATCAGGCTGCCCCTGAGCTCTTGATCCTCCCTCTTCCACCAAGAGTTAAAGGCGTATATTACCATCCCTGGCCCTGGTGATGACTTTTAGTGTCCCAAGAAGTTAAGGGACAGACCCCTTGGACTTTTTCAGCCCTCACGTAGCCCTCCTTCCCTTTGGCGGGAGTTATTTATTTATTGGAGTATTTATTCTCTCGCAGATGCCAGTGTGCTTGCCTAGACACTGGCGTTCTCCAAAGAACGGAATATTCCTTCCCAGGAGCTCACCTAGTTCCCTCTGTGGGGGAGTCTCAGATGGAAACACACAGGATGGGAATATCCACGGATGTGGGAATAGAGTAGCCGATCTCAGAGCTGGTCCGTGGCTGCTCTGCTGCTCTGAGACAGATTCTGTCCGCTCACACTTACGGAGCCATACATCTCTACTCTTGTGTTACCTTACTGTTTGGGTTGACGGTATTTTTGCTGTTGTTTGGGTTTTTTAAAATTACTTTGTGGGTGTGTACATGCCACGTTGGGTGTGTGGAGGTCAAAGGACAACTTTCAGGAGTGAGGTCACGGGGATTGAACTCAAGTTGCTAGATTTGGTGGCGAGCACCTTCACCTGCTGAGCCATCTTGCTGGCCCTTGTGTTTTTATTCGTAAGATACTCTGTTGTTTCCTTTCATTTCCCAGAGCATTGGTTTCACATCTTTCTTCCTCTCTTGAAAACCGGCTTACAGGTCACTGGCTTGAAGCATGTTTATAATAATATATATTCGATAACCAGCAATAGGTTAGATACCGATGGAAGCTACTTCACTGTGCTAAGTGCTTCTCATAGGGTCCATGATACCCACTGATGTTCACGGGTGGCAGTGATGCAGTGGCAGGATGCAGTTGCACTGCTGGTGTGTTCAGGTGATGCTGATGTGTTTGGATGATGCTGTTGTGTTTGGGTGATGCTGTAGCAGGAAGCAGTTGCACTGCTGGTGTGTTCGGGTGATGCTGTGGTGGGAAGCAGCTGCACTGCTGCTGTGTTCAGGTGATGCTGGTGTGTTCGGGTGATGCTCTGGCGGGAAGCAGCTGCACTGCTGGTGTGTTCGGGTGATGCTCTGGTGGGAAGCAGCTGCACTGCTGCTGTGTTCAGGTGATGCTGGTGTGTTCAGGTGATGCTGGTGTGTTCAGGTGATGCTGGTGTGTTCAGGTGATGCTGGTGTGTTCAGGTGATGCTGGTGTGTTCGGGTGATGCTCTGGTGGGAAGCAGCTGCACTGCTGCTGTGTTCAGGTGATGCTGGTGTGTTCGGGTGATGCTGTGGCAGGAAGCAGCTGCACTGCTGGTGTGTTCGGACAATGCTGTGACGGAAAGCAGTAGCATGGCTGTGTGTTCATGAATGAAACAGTTTAAACACTAAACGGAAGTTTGAGGAGCTGAGGACATAGCTGTGTGGTTAAACACTTGTCCCACAGATTGTGAACTGGAATTCAGATTTCCACAAACCCATAAAAATGCCAGGAGGGCCGGGCAGTGGTGGCGCACGCCTTTAATCCCAGCACTCGGGAGGCAGAGGCAGGCGGATCTCTGTGAGTTCGAGACCAGCCTGGTCTACAAGAGCTAGTGCCAGGACAGGCTCCAAAACCACAGAGAAACCCTGTCTCGAAAAACCAAAAAAAAAAAAAAAAAATGCCAGGAGGATGTGCCTGCCTGTAATGGCAGCCTTGAAAGAAAGCAACAAGGGGCTCCCAGGAAGACTACCATGTCCCTAAGTTCTGGGCTTGATTGAGAGGCTGTGCAATGGACAGTATTGTGGTGAAGAATCTGGGGCATCCGTGTCTAGAGTGCAGGAGAGAGACCTGAACTGGTGCTGATTGGGAAGGGTTTGCACATGGAGGGCAGTTTAACTGCCGTGAATCCACGCAGGCTCCTCCATCAAAGCTGTCAGTGATCTGGAAACCCAAGGGAGAGAAGCGCCAACAGAGGACAAAAGGAAGAGTCAGGGAAGTGTGGGGGGGGGGGCGCGGATACCAGTATCATTCATGTGATGGAGACCAGATGGAGAGTGTTGCACAGAGTAGGATGCACCTAGGATTGTGTGGGTGCCCCTCGGGTCTGAGCTCTTCAGTGGTGGGAACTGTTTCTGAGGGTTTTTGTGTCCCCGACAGCCAGCATTATTCCTGGCTTGTGGTTCAAGCCCAGTGCTTTCTTAATGTGTATAAATGAGTCCCAAGGCAGTTGGTTTTTTTTCTGTTTTTCATGTGTGTGTATTACGTGTATTTGTGTCTTGCACAGTTTTGCTTGTGTGAGTGCATGTGGAGGCCCAGGGTGGTACTGGGAACCATCATTCACCCTTCTCCTTTACTCACTGAAGGAAGATCTTAGTCAAACCCAAGGCTCTCCAATATGGCTAGTCTTGCTAGCCAGCTTCCTCTGGAGAGCCCATATCTTGTCTCCCAAGATTAGAACTACAGAGAGGCTGTCATGCCTACCTGGCATTTACCTGGGTTTCTGGAACCCTAATCTGGTACTCACTCATACTGCAAGTGCTTTAACAGCGGAGCCGTTTCTCTAGCCTGATAGGCAGGCTTTACTTTTGCAGTCTGTGATATAAAGTAAAATGTGCAGTGCTCATGGCTGGTTGACAGTGGCAGCGAGCTGGGGAAGAGCTTGTCTTCAGATGCATGTTTCTTGTGATCGCATTCTGAGCATGTTGTTGCAGGGCCCACTGTCCTTCGGGGACGTGGCCGTGGCCTTCACCCAGGAGGAGTGGCAGCGGCTGGGCTCTGAGGAGAAGACGACGTACAGGGACGTGATGCTGGAGACCTACAGCAACCTCGTCTCCGTGGGTGAGCTCCGCTTCCTTCTCAGCTCGAATGTGGAATTGCCTTTAAGGTCATGAAAGAGTTGGTGGCTTTAATTCTGAGCTCTGCGGGATGATTATGAGCGGTTCGCTCTGACTGGCCGTTCTGTACCGATAAAGCACGAGGGCTTGTGCTCTCCAGCCTGTACAGCCGCGGTTGCCCTGCACGGTGGAAATGGTGAAGCCGGGCCGGCAGGCTCAAGTTGTGTTTCATTTCTCATTAACAGGGTGTCACATTATCAAACCGGATGTTATCATCAAGTTGGAACAAGGAGAAGAGCCATGGATAGTAGAAGGAGCATTCTCACCTCAGAGCTATCCAGGTGTGTTAGTGGAGGCAGAGAGGCAGAGAGGAGGTGGTAACTGGGGTGTTTCTCCCAGGAACATTCTGATCATCCCACGCGTTAGAAATTACTGAAGGTAGTTAGTCGCTCCTAAAGGTTTCTTCCCCATGAACATATATGGGGAAGAAATATATCTCCCCCTGACTACCACTCTCCAGAATCAAAGGTTCCTAGATGTCTGTGAAGGGCGCTTGCCTTTAATCCAGCACTCGGGAGGCAGAGGCAGGCTGAGTTCAAGGCCAGCCAGGGCTACACAGAAGAGTCACCCATTATTATAGTTTCCTTAGGTGTTCATAAGTATATTGTTAGTAATCAGCTTCAGCTCTTAGGCTGTTACCCTTTGCTTTTATCTTCATTCTCTCCGACCGTGAGATGCTTTGGGCTCTGTATCGGTCACTTCCCCGTGACTGTGATAAAACCTCACAAAAGGGGCTCACAGCTCCAGGTACGTAGCCCGTCACAGCCTGGCAGTCACAGCAGCAGGGAGGAGGCAGCGGCTCATGCTGTGCCTGCACTGCATCCCCAGTCAGGAAGCAGGGGTGATGCTTGCTGATGCACAGCTCCCTTTCTCGTTTTTATTCAGGCCAGAATCCTGGCCCAGGGACTGGTTCTCCAAATGGTAGGTGTTTCTTTCTCCTCAAGGAATCTATCAGGATAACCCCACAGGGTGCCTAGAAGCTGGACGTCTGGGTGATTGACAGTAATAACCATCGTGGGCTCTTTTTTTTAAGCCTTTATTTTTATCTTATGTGTATGTATCTGTGCCATGTGCATGCAGTGCCTGTGGAGGACAGAAGAGGGGTTGGATGCCCTCAGCTGTAGTTACATGGCTGTGAGTAGCTGTCTGGGTGCTAGGAATCTAACCCAGGTCCTCTGGAAGAGCAACCAGTGTTCTTAACTGATAATCCATCTCTCCAGCCCCTTTAATTTTATTTACTGTCATCATTGGGAGTGTGAGTGTACAGGTTCAACAGCATGCATCTGAGGTCACTGGAGAGCTTTTGTGGAGTGGTTCTTTCCTTCTGTGTTCACGTGGGAGTCAGAGGTTTAACTTAGGTTGCTAGTTTTGTTTGGCAAGCTTCTTTACCCAATGAGCCATTTCACCTCCCACCTGTAGCTGCTGTGTTTTACTCTTTGCTCTTAGGGGGCCTGCCACCCAGTCCCAAATAAATATACAGAGACATAGTCTTTCTTAGGAATGCCCGGCTCAGCTTGTCTTGTTGCTAGCTAGTTTTTCTTAACTTAAGCTATCCTGTTTGCCTCTGGCCTTTTACCTTTCTCTCTCTCCTTTCTTCCTTCCTTCCTTCCTTCCTTCCTTCCTTCCTTCCTTCCTTCCTTCCTTCCTTCCTTCCTTTCTTCCTTCCTTCGTTTCTTTTTGGTTTTTCAAGACAGGGCTTCACTGTAGTTTTGGATCCTGTCCTGGAACTAGCTCTTGTAGACCAGGCTGGTCTCGAACTCACAGAGATCCTCCTGCCTCTGCCTCCCAAGTGCTGGGATTAAAGGCATGCACCACCCGGCCCTTTCTCTGTTCTATATTCCTTTCTTTTCTTTTCTTTTCTTTTCTTTTCTTTTCTTTTCTTTTCTTTTTCCGTGGCTGACTGCCTTCTCCTTTTCTCACTCCTTCCTCTTCTCCTTCTGTTTGTTCTTTGCCTGGCAGCCTTGCCTGTTTCTCTCTTCTGCCTAGCTGTTGGCTACTCAGCCCTTTATTAGACCAATCGGGTGTTTGTAGGCAAAGTAACACTGCTTCACAGAGTTAAAAAAACGCAACACATCTTTGCATCATTAAACAAATATTCCAGAGCATAAATGAATTTAACACATCTAAAATAATAATCCACAACACCCACCTCTTTATTTTCTTTAAGGCCGGTTTATAAAATCCCTGTCTTAAACCATTTGACCCTGGCCTGTCCCTGCCTCTGTGGCCAGGTCTTTTCGTTCTCTGGAAATCCAGCCTGATGATGTTTAGCTCCTGCAGACCTGGTCTCTTTCTTGCTTCCAAAACACTTGTTTTTCTCTTAGCTTTATACTTGCTCTCTTCCCCAGCCCTTGAATGATGTCCCATTGTATTGTGTACATAAACAACATTTGATTAATTTCTCTTTCCACCTTCTGAAGTATCTAGAAAGGGTATTTTTCCACCTGTGCCCTGGCTTCATGATTCTTCAGAGGGCTTCTCCACTGTCAAGTCTGAGGTTTTCTTCGCCTGCTTGTTTCTCTGCAGACTCACACCAGTGTTGCAGCTTCATGGCACCTGCCGTCCCTTCTCTGCTTACAGCATGTGTTTCTCTCATTCTTGCTGTTTGTGAAATTGATCATGAACTCTTCCAGCTTATGGCTGCCGAGCACTTTTCCTCTCCCCTTAATTAATTTATTGTTCACTTCTCGTTTCTCACCATGGCCCTCATAGAGTCTCTGAGAATATCTACTCATCGGGTGGTGCAGGTGTCCAGAGTGACTGCGTGTTGTTCCCTTAGGAAATGTCTTATTTACCTTTTATGCTTTTTTAATGTAAGCATGAAATGTATCTGCACTGCTGTTACTCCTGATTGGCTTGGGAAGAATCTTCACCGTAGGTACCCAGTTGACCCTCTACAAAGTGAATCTGTCTCAAGAGGCGTAGCACTAACGGCTCTGAACCACCTGCAATTTGCTCCAAGGTCTTAGTGTCTTCTCGCCGTGGGGTTTTCATCTCTGCGCTTTGCGTTTCTCTAGGATGAGCTGTGCTGTCGAGTTTCCTCCCTGGACGTGTTTTCCTTCCCAGCTCTTATCATTTCTCCAGTTCCACCCTTCTCTCTGCAGTAAAAGTAGGCAGGACGTCCAGCAGGAAAGCTTAGGAGCGGAGACTTGTAGGTGCCCGTGTGCCAAGAATTTGCTGGCTATCCCAGGAATCCTAGCATAAGGCTGTGGGCACTGTGATCTGTCTCAGCCAACTTGGTAGGACGTGATGATGTATATAGTATTGATCTCCAAAACAAATCCTAACTTTATTGTTCCACATGACTCTTTCTCAGTTAATAGCCTGCTTTTCCTGGGACAGAATGTTTTCAGTTATGACCTATCCTGCCTGGCTTTGAGTCATTTTTGAGTCCAGGTGGTGATGTGTTGGTTTTTGGCACTGGTGGATTCTGGGAGGCGGTAAAAAGAATAAGATTAATAATTTGAGATGTGATATGCATGACATCGAGTGAAGGAGGTCTATCTCATAATTTCTAAGATAAGTGAAAACAAAAATCACCATTGGAAGAGCATGCTGAGGGCCCTGACTCTTACATTTGCACACGAAGTGGAACTCACATTCAGAATTAGACCGCGGCAGGTTGTCTGGGAACGGCAGTGTCAGCGCTTTTCTGTTGCTGTCATTAAATGCCATTGCAGATGGGGTTTTTCCTAGGGACCACAGGCTCCCAAATAACCACATACAGACTTATTATTAATTATAAATACTCGACTGAGAACTTGGGCTTGTTACTAACTAGCTCTTAGAACTTAAATTAATCCATAATTCTTTTCAAAATATTTGTTTATTTTGTATACAATATTCTGTCTGTGTGTATAGTTGCAGGCCAGAAGAGGGCACCAGACCCCATTACAGATGGTTGTGAGCCACCATGTGGTTGCTGGGAATTGAACTCAGGAACTTTGGAAGAGCAGGCAATGCTCTTAACCTCTGAGCCATCCCTTCAGCTCCTTAAACCATAATTCTTATCTGCAGTCTCCCACACACACATAGTGGTATCTTTTTTTAGCATGGCATGTTCATTTCCTGCTTCCTCTGGGTCTGGCTGGCAACTCTGTCCTTCTTTATCCCCAAGTTTCTTTTTGTTCACAACTCTCAACTAATCTCTGCCTGCCTAGCTATTGGCCATTTAGCCTTTTATTAAACCAATAAGAAGGCACCTCGGCAAAGACACATCTTCACAATGGATGAAAAGATTATTCCACAGCACAGCATGACCAAGGGAACAGAGAAGAGGGTTTATGTGGGGCTGATGGTTCCAGAAGGATAATAGTCCATCGCTATCACAGCAGGAGCGTGGCAGCAAGAGGCGGGAGCAGCAGCTGAGAGCTCACGTCTCAGTCTGCAGACAGGAAGCAGAGAGAGAAAACTCCAAGTACCAGGAGTCTTTTGAAACCCAAAAGCTTCTCTTACTGATACTTACTTCCAAACAGCCACCAACTGGGGACCAAGTATTTAAATGCTCAAGACTTACAGGGAACAGAGCTGGCAGATTGAAAGCGGGAAAAATAAATGCTCAGGAAACCCTCAGTATGTATTCTGTGCCTCTTGCTGTCCTGTAATCCCACAACAACCGTGTAAGGTAAAGCCCGTCACTTCCTGCTGATAGGTGGAGATGGTGGCTGTAGAGGCTGTGAAGTAGCTCTCCCTGGGTGACCGTATCAGTTCATACAGCACAGTTAGGAACAGTACTACATTTCATGGTCAAAGTGAGTTCATTCTTAAACCACAGCCTGATAGAATCCTTTTTTTAAAAATTCAAACCTTTTAGGGGATGACATCTTTTTCTGTGCCTTTTGGTACTCCTGGTCTCACATAGATGTTCCAGAACTCGCCTTCCAAGTGAAGCTTAGAGGGAGAGCCTGGGTCTCAGGTTCTAGACAAGAGGAATTTAGGTGTAAAATTTATGTGACACTATTGTGTGGAATGCAGACGAGATAATATGGAAGGATACAAGGTGGAGAACGAGACGCAGGGGTGTCAGCGTGATCAGCAACGCCTCAGATTCTAGCCTCTCCCAGTGGGAGTGATGTGGAGAAAGTGCTTGTCGGCCACCACACCGTCCTGTTTCCGCATGTCTTGTGCAGTGGCGCTCCTAACTGTCCTGCGGGCTCCTTTGCTCCGAGTCCTTTTATCCAGCACCCCCGCCCTTTCCACCAGTCATTGCTCTGGATCTATGCACAAAATGTTAGAAAGTGACCCAGGTCAAAGGTGCTCAGTGTCGTCAGTTTCCTTTCCTTCCCGCCAGTGGAGATCTGTCTGTTACTCCAAACGATTCAGCAGTGTGGGTACTAACAGGATTGTGAAGCTAAACTCAAAATGAGAGGCTGTGTATCAGTTGTCAGACCATGTCTTATGTACGAAGATGTACAAACTTGCGTTCAATTTGTCTTTCTTCAGATGAAATCTGGCAGGCGAATGACCTGATGGAGAAAGCCCGGGAAGATGGAAAGAGGCTCTCGAGGGCAGCTGTGCTCAGCTACAGAACCACGGTTGGAAAGATAGGCGATGCTGCCGGTGAAGCCGCTGCTGTAGAAACAACACTTGTTCCTTCAGGGAAAGTCATCCCTAAGTGCAGCTCCTGCGCGGAGAGCTTGACGTGTATCTCCGCTTTCATCAGCAGCGATGGGAGCTACGCAAAGATGAAGCCCAATGTCTGTGCTGGATGTGGGAAATCGCTGCTCCACACTAAGCCCGAGAAAACACATCCAGGAGATGATTCTTATGAATTTAGTCAGAATGAAGATGATTACACTCTAAGTGAAGAAAATTTTTACCAAAAAATTCGTACTTTGGAGAAGCCCTTTGAATATGTTGAGTGCCAGAAATCCTTCCCAAAGAACACTGTTTTTGTTGATCCCGTGGAAGAGAAGCCCTATGACTGGAGTGAGTCTGAAATGGCTTTCCTCCAGATGTCAGAGCTCAGTGGCCACAAAGGTTCTCACATGGAATTGAAGCCCTACGAGTGCCGGGAATGCGGGAAGACCTTTTGTAAAAGGTCCAAATTCATCATCCACCAGAGAACTCACACGGGAGAGAAACCGTTTAAGTGTAACCAGTGAGGGAAGTCCTTCTGCCAGAAGGGAACCCTCACCGTGCATCAGAGGACACACACAGGGGAGAAGCCCTACGAATGTAAGGAGTGCGGGAAAAACTTCTACCAGAAGTTACACCTCATCCAGCACCAGAGAACCCACTCAGGAGAGAAGCCCTATGAATGCAGCTACTGTGGGAAGTCCTTCTGCCAGAAGACACACCTCACGCAGCACCAGAGGACACACTCAGGCGAGAGGCCCTACATCTGTCCCGACTGTGGAAAGACTTTCTCTCAGAAGTCAGCCCTTAACGACCACCAGAAGATCCACAGCGGGGTGAAGCTGTACAAGTGCAGCGAGTGTGGAAAGTGCTTCTGCCGCAAGTCCACACTCACCACCCACATGAGGACGCACACCGGGGAGAAGCCCTACGAGTGCAACGAGTGCGGGAAGTTCTTCTCCAGGCTGTCCTACCTGACCGTGCACTACAGGACCCACTCGGGGGAGAAGCCCTACGAGTGTGCCGAGTGTGGGAAGACCTTCTACCTGAACTCGGCCCTCATGAGGCACCAGAGGGTGCACACCGGAGAGAAGCCCTACGAGTGCAGCGAGTGCGGGAAGCTGTTCTCACAGCTGTCCTACCTCACCGTGCACCACCGAACTCACTCGGGAGTGAAGCCCTACGAGTGCAGCGAGTGCGGGAAGACCTTCTACCAGAACTCGGCCCTGTGCCGGCACCGGAGAATCCACAGAGGGGAGAAGCCCTACGAGTGCTACATATGCGGGAAGTTCTTCTCGCAGATGTCCTACCTCACCATCCACCACCGCATCCACTCAGGGGAGAAGCCCTACGAGTGCAGCGAGTGCGGGAAGACCTTCTGCCAGAACTCCGCCCTGAACAGGCACCAGCGGACACACACAGGGGAAAAAGCCTATGAGTGTTACGAGTGTGGGAAGTGCTTCTCGCAAATGTCGTACCTCACCATCCATCACCGCATCCACTCGGGGGAGAAGCCCTTTGAATGCAGTGAGTGCGGGAAAGCCTTCTCTCGGATGTCCTACCTCACCGTGCACTACAGAACACACTCGGGAGAGAAGCCCTACGAGTGCGCCGAGTGTGGGAAGAAGTTCTACCACAAGTCAGCGTTCAATAGCCATCAGAGGGTTCACCGAAGAGGGAGTGCCATGTAGCTGTGTGGGAGGCTCCCCTAAGCGGACTCAGATGACTGCCTCAGTGAGCAAGTGGAGCCCTGTGTACGTACATTTGTTCCTCAGCACCCATAGCTTCCATATCCAAGGGTTCAACCGACCAGAACGACTTAGGGAAAAGGTTTTATCTGTACTGAATATATATAGACTTTTTTCTTATACAATATGACAAGTTTGATATTGTATTTGTATGATATTAAGCATTATAGATCATCTAGAGATAAAATACATAGGAAGATTATGTAGGCTGTACACAAATACAGCATTTTACATAGGGACTTAATAAACTGCAGACTTTGGTGTCCAGGTGGTCCTAGAACCACACTTAAACATACCAAAGGATACTTATCAGAGAGCCCACACAGGTGAGCAGGACATGGCCATGTGAAGTAGATCCATCTGGAAATTCACAGGGCAGAAACAACAGTTGTGACAAGAGCACATAGCAGCCTATCCAGGAGTAAGAATCAAACTGCTGTCAGGGAGTTGACTCACTTAACTGTGAGACGTACACTCCTTTGGAAACTCTGGTACTAAGGATGTTTTGTAAAAATTAAGATAATCTGCTGGAAATAAGTATACTCTATAACTACAGGATATAAAATGTCAGTCTAGTTAGCCAAGTTTGCTGCATTAAATAATTCCCTAGGAACACAGGACTTGGGGTTTCTTGTTCTTATTTTAGTAACCATCACAGAACTCATGTTCGTTCCGTTGTAATCAAGCTTGGAAGAGCGTATCCTTAGTTTGTAACGTATGGTAAGGTAGCCCATTCTAACTAAGTTCGCCATCATGTTACTTTCTGAATATGCATTTCACTGGAGTAGGATCTGAAAGTTATGAACTATGCTTTTTCCTTGTTGCTTGTGTTTTAAAATGCATTTGATCATTGTTACAGGATTATATCTGTAATAAGCCAATTTTTTGTTGTTTTTTAACTATAGCAAAGACGACAGAAATGTATCTATAAAATAGGAAACTCTGAGTAGATCATTTTAAATTAAGCCAGAGTCTTCAAGGGTGAGAAGTAGCTTCAGCACTCACTACTCTGTACAACCACGACCTAAGAATGTTCTCCTTCCTCTCTGCGTTTGCTCACTTCCTTCTTATGGAGATGTGAGGTCCTAGAGCACTGGGCTGTGCAGCTGTCTGTGCTAGTGTGGGGAGCGTTCTCCACTCTGCCATCACTAGGAGGTGAGAACACACAAATCAGGGTGTGGCAGACATCATCCCTGCCGTCTGTCACTCCCTCCTGGCTCTTTGCCCTCCTGGGAATAAGGGCTATAACTCCTGGAAAGTGTCTTTGGTAGTGATAATCCGTCCCTGTAGCCTTGGACCCAAGTCTAAAGAGTTAGTGGGGTTATCAGAGATTGTCTCCTGAAAGGGTTTCCTCAAAGAAGCCGAACCTTAGTGAGCATCATCTTGTCTGGATGTGGTGACTCCCAGAAGTGGCCACAGTGTAACAGTGTAGCTGTACAGAAGCAGAATAAACTGGGACCTGATGTCTCAGAGGCACTAAACCAGCTTGACTGGAGCCGCTCCATGTCTGGACTGTGTCTTTTTCTAAGAGACTATTTGTTTCTAAGCCAGTTGACTTAGGAACATTCTGCTAGTAACAAGACAGTCTACCTGGTGTAGCATTACACTTTGTAGGAGTTTTGCAGTTCGGAAGTGGACTCTAGCTAAATCATTTATTTTGATGTGTTAATAGAAAGATTTATTATCTGTAAATTTGTATGTAAATAATCTGAACATTGAAAATGAATTTGAAACAAACGTACATGCTTCCTTGAGCTGCCCTGTCATTGGCCTGTAAGATTGTTTTCCTATGTGTTTGTGTGTGCGCAAGTGTGTAGAGGCCCAAGGACAACTTTCAAGTGATGTCTTGTTTGCTGAGACAGGGTGTCCCTAACTGGCCTGGAGTTCACCTAGTAAACTAGGCTGGCCCAGCATGTCTCAGGAGCCACCTGTCTCCAGTTCCTCATTGCTGAGGTTACAGATGCCCATGGTTCCATTGTACATGGATTCTGGAGATGGAACTTGAATCATATGTGTGCACAGCAGGCACGTAACCAACAGCCAGCTATAGCCATATCTGACTTTAATACACGTGCACAGCAGGCACGTAACCAACAACCAACCACAGCCATATCTGACTTTTACACACGTGCACAGCAGGCACGTAACCAACAGCCAGGCACAGCCATATCTGGCTTTCATACACGTGCACAGCAGGCACGTAACCAACAGCCAGTCACAACCATATCTTTAATATGCGTGCACAGCAGGCATGCAACCAACAGCCACAGCCATAGCTGGCTTTTTTCACATAGGTTCTGGGAATAACTCAGCCTCATGATGGTGAGGCAGGCGTGTCGCCAACTGAGGCCTTGTTTTGAGAGACAAGTGTTGCACTGTAGCCCTGGCAGGCCTTGGACTCGTGGTAATCCTGCCTTACTATCCCAAGTGTGGAAGTCCAGATGTGAGCCACCAGAACCAGCTTGACTTGTGGAATTAATTTTTGGAGACAGTCATCAGGTCTGCTCCCGTTTTCTAATACATTAGCGTTTGTTTGGGGTAGTTTAACCTGCACACGGACCATGGCTCACATCTGGCAGTGTGTGATGTGAGGTAAGGATCTAGTTTTGTTCACTTACAGAGAATTATCCTGGTAGCCCATCTCTCCCCACTCCCCATGTCCTTGTAGAATACTGAGTATACCTCGTAACAAAAATTTAAAGTCTGGTAGGTGGTTTAGTTCGGTATTGGGACAAAAAGTTGGTAGTATGTTTGTTGAAATGGTAACTACAGCAAGCATGGTGCTGTATGCCTGTAATCCCAGCACTTGGAAGATTGGGGGCAGGACAATTAGGCCCAGGCCAGCCTGGAATAAACAGCCACATCCACCCACACACGAATTTCCCACAATTATATCATAACTTGATGACACAATGTACATTTGTGTGTGTCTGGTGGTGTGTGCCCAAGATGGATGCTCGGTGTTTCTCCATCATTTTCTGAGTCAGGTCTCACTGGACCTAAATTGGCTGGCCAGTGCGTTTCAGGGATCCACCTGTCTACTCCCAACCCCCATAACTTGAGTTACAGGCATATATCATCGTGCACGGATTTCAAAGATCAGAACCCAGGTCTTCCTGCTTGTCCGTCACTGAGCCATCTCCTCAACCCACAATACTCACGTAAAGAAACAGTGAAGATGTGCTACCACCAGGACCATTGTGTGTGCATGGTATGTACCCTTCTTCATTCCTGTCGTCTCTTCACCTAGCTGCAGTCCAGCTCTAGCCAGAAAGTCACATGACTGTCCTCCCCAAATGATGGCAAGCTTTATAGAGTGCTTCTGCTTTAAATGTACAAGGAAATTTACCACACGGATAGCTATGGCTCACAGCCATCTGTAACTCTGGTTTCAGGGGATCTGAACCCTTTTCAGACCTCAAAGGGTGATAAAACAAATTGGACGGGAGAGAGATCTCAGTGGCTAAGGCACTCGCTCTGCAAGTAGAACAGAGTGCAGGTCCTCAAAACCCATTTAAGTGCAAGAGCATGTGGTGGCCCACCTGGAATTCCAGCCTCAGCAGGTGGAGACGAGATCCACAGAGCAGGCTGGCTAGCCAGAACAGTGTGAGAGAGCCTGCCTGAGTGGAAGAGACCATTCCAGACATTGATTCTGGCTTACCCGTGTGCACAACCCCAAATGTGGGACCACAAACTTATAAACACACACGCTCACGTGAAAATGGAAAAAGCAAAATCCATCCATTGGATTTTTAAAAATACATTATGTTATCTGTGTGTGCACACCTGAGTGTATGTGTGCACACTATGTGGGCAGAAGCCCATGCGAGTCTGAAGATTTTTGGGGCCCCTGGGACTAGAGTTACACATGGTTGTTAGCCACCACCTGACTGCTGGGAATTGAACCTGGGTTCTCTGCAATAGAGGTAAGTGTTAGCAGGTGGGCATCTCTCCAGCGGCGCTCCCCTCCTACCCCCATTGGATTAAAGTTTATGATGCTTGTGGAAATGATGGGCTTGCACAGCCAACGGGCTTGTTGCTGCCACCTGAAGCTGGAGATGGCCTAGATGCAAGGGTTACAGAGCAGCTGAAGCAGTTTTGGCCTAGATGCAAGGGTTACAGAGCAGCTGAAGCAGTTTAGGAAAGAGTGGTAACAGACGGGCATTGGAGAACGCCTGAATTGGAGTCTAGCAAAGCCTTTCCCTTCTATACAACCTTTTAGAGAAACAGTCAAGGTTCTGGAGAAACAGCTCAGTTGATGAAGTGTTTGCCATGCAAACATGAATCTGTTCCCCAGGACCTCCTCAGGCTGGGGAGACAGGAGGACCCCTGGGGTTCACTAGCCTGCCAGCAAATTGGTGAGCTTTAGTGAAAGACCCTGTCTCAAAAAAATAGGTGGAGAGTAACTGGAGCTACCTACCATCAGCCTCAAGCCTGCATGCACATGCCTGCACACGTTTTCATGTATGTACACAATTTCTAAATTATTATGTTTGAACAATGTATACAGGAGCCCTCAGAGGTCAGAAGAGGGGTCAGATCCCCTAAAACCAGAATTATACCTGACCGTGAGTCATACGGGTGCTGGGAACCGAATCTGGTTCCTCTGGAAGAGTGACCAGTGCTCTTAACTACTAAGCTGTCTATCTAGCCACACAAATTAAAAACAAAAGAAAAAACCGAGACACATGTTCTAATTGTAACAGGTGAAATGAAAAACGTGTGGAATGGGGAATGTAGATAGGAATGTGGATGAAACAAATTCAGCGTAAGTTGTCGCTTTTGTGTGTGGGGGTGCTCAGTGCGCCACCTACATTCCCTGTGTCTGCAGAGCCAGGAGTTGCAGACAGTTGTGAGCTGCCATGTGGGTGCTGGAATGGGACCCAGGTCCTTTGGAAGAGCAGCCAGTGCTCTTAACTGCTGAGCCATCTCTTTGACCTCCTGTTGTTTAGACTACAACGCACTCTGGAACTTAGAACCTGAGATCTTCCTCCACTGCCTCCCAAGTGTTAGGATACAGGCATTGTGTGTCACCATGCACAGCTGTACACGGTACGCTTTGAGGTGGGGAAAAAAGCAAGCTGCTGAACGGTATCTAAAGTATGTTCTTGTCCTGAACTGTTCCTGTATAGACATATGCGTATGAACAGGAGCCCAGGTATTGGATGGGATGAGTCTTGTTAGGGACATGAAGATAAACTTGATATTTTCATACTGTTGGAGGTTTCACAATTCATATATAACTTAAAATCTGGAGAGAAATAATGAACAAGGAAGATAAAACTTTGATATAACTAAAAGTCTAAAACCACTTTATTACATAAACAGAAAATTAAGAGGGGGGAGGAAAAAGAGAGAGAGCAAGAGCAGAGTCTAAATAGGTAAAATAGAGATAACGTTAAAAAAAAAGCTGAGAAAACAGGGACGTGAGAAAGATAAAAATGGGTAGGCAGAGGAGAGAATGCCCAGCCATGATGACCCTCCAGCTGTCACCTTTGGTTGGTCACATTTCACAGGTAATAAAGACTTTTTGAGGCAGTTGTTGGATTAGGGATTCCTTACCCCACAACAGAAGAACTCCAGCTGCACATCAATGGTAAGCTTTATCAAAGAATTGCCTGGCCTTTCTCAGTAGATCTGAGTGGCCATCCATCTTCTCCATCCTTACATCTACCTCCTAAAATCCGGGGTATTTTTGTTCGTTTGTTTGAGGTAGTCTCCCCAAATGCTGACGTGACAGGCATGCTCTGCCGTGCCTGGTTTATAGAGTTCTGGGGATGAAAAGCGGAATGCTGGGCAAGCACTGTACCCACTGGGCTACACCCCCAGCCCAACTGCTTGTTTTAATGGAGATACTGGTTTCCTTTATTCTGAAGCCTCAAATCACATCTGTGTATTCTCAAATCCATTGGGAAAAGATCCTATCACAGAGACTGAATAAGAAAAGCCAGGTTAAAGGGAGTTGTCTGGAAACTCCTGGGGATGGCCAAGCCTTTGTGGCTTTGGAGTAGATAAACCCCACAGCACTGGAACCCCTGAGGAAAGGCCAAGGCATGGATCTGCACTCTGAGAAAGATCAGGCCCTCTCTTTAAACCCAGGTTAGCCGAATGAATCCCCGACACGTCCCATGTGTGGCAGTGTGAGGCATCCCAGGAAGGAGGGGTTGACACAGGCCAAATCCATGATGAGCCAGGCAAGAATCGATTCTAGCTTCTCAGAAGGGGAAAACAAGTCAGAAAAGAGATGGACACGATGGAACCAAGGTGGGGCAAAAGCAGAGTCCAGTCCCAAAGCTTGTTTCTTCATCTTTATTAAAGCTAGGTCCTCCTGCCCACAGCAAGAGGGGCAGAGTGGAAACCGCTGGGGAATAAGAGGAATGGGGTTGGTGCCCTGCCAGCCCACCCTGCCCTAGCTTTTTCTGAAGTTCATGTCCCAGAAGACATGGAAAGAGCATAAAAAAATGGGACAGAGAGACCACTGCTGAGCAATCAGGACCCATGCCTTCCCACTTCACCTCACCTGGCCAGGCTACCTTCTGACCCTCACCACCCCAGCTCCTCCCACCCATGGACTACCCACCCAGCACCTAGCAGCCTGCCCGTTAGCTCTTGGGCCCCAAGGGCGTGTCTACACTACAACAAAGGATCTAGGTCTAAAAGGGAACGCAGTTGGGTGGAAATCTCTCTTCTTTAGCCCCCAGTCACACTGGCCCAGAATTCATGGAGGGTGGGAGGGGCTTGTGTGTGCTACATCTTAGATGCCAGCAGTCCAGGCTGGAGAGTTAGCTATCCACTGTGCAAGGGCCTTGCATAGTAAGGCGTTGTGAGCTCAGGTCCACGTGATATCTTAGGTGGACAACCACTGTGCAAATCACCAATCACTCTGTAAGCCATGGGCCCACCCACAGCAGGAACGCTACCTGCTTCTAGTGTACGGTGATTACAGCAGAGTTAAGAGTCTTGCAGAGGATAAAGGGCCCTTATTATAAGCTGAGGATAAGGTTCCAGAACCCACCCCAGTGCTGTGAAAGGCTGAGCACAGGGCTCCGCAGCTACCTGCTCCGGCGGAGGGCGCTGCTAGGGAACTGGAGACCAGGTCTGTAGGAGCCCACACCAGGCACTCCAAAGATGTCCATGTGTGCCGCTTGCAGCCACTATAGCACCAACAAGCTTGGAGGGGATTCCACTACCAAAACGCACCTTGTAGCCAGTGCTCGATGGGGTTGGAGTAAGGATTCTCAAATAAGGCTTCCAACTCCCTGGGGACCTAGCCAACATCCGCAACCTGACCATGCATTTGGTATCTTGCTTTTTCAACACCTCCCCAGTTCTCAGGCCATACAAAAGATGGAAACAAATACCCAGTTGATAGAACAAAAGCTTCCCCTGTTCGCATCTCCATGCCCCCAAAACCTAGTGAAGCTTCTGCCTGCCATGAACCATGTTCTTAAAACTTAATGGACACACCCAAGTGACCGGAAGACGGTCCCTGAAACTCCTAGGGAGACTGGGAAGAGCCAAACCCTCCAAGAAACCCGGATGCAACTGGATGACCTCTCTTACCCTCTCCCAATGATGGGGCTTCCCCATCACTCCTCAGAAAGCCTAGTGACAGACTCCTAAGCCACTGGCCCTACTGGCCACCTGAATCTGAATCCGTGATGAACGAATTGGCTTTGCCCACTATCTCAGCAGCACAGATCCAGGGATGGGCGCTCTTGATCAGGGTGGCAGCCTGTGCGCACCCAAGCGAAATCTGAAGCTTGGGGCGTTAGGGCCCAAGAGCACCCAAGATTGGGAATCCTCAGCCCGCCTCGGGGAGCGGGAGGACTCTGCGCGCTTCGAACAGCCTCACAAGACGCTCTCCTCATAGGCACCCGAGGACCCAGCGAACACGGCAGGATCGGAGCCGAAGCTGGTTCCGCCGGCGAACTCGAGCAGCGTTCCTGACCCGGTGCTCACGCCCGGTGGCGGCGGAGGCGGCGTCGCCTTGGCAGGCGCCTGGGCCTTGGCGGCGGTGTTCTGCGTCTGTGCGCCCGCCTGCCCGCGGTGCGTCTTCATGTGCGTGAGCAGATGCGAGCTCTGCGAGAAGCGCCGGCCGCAGTTGGCACACGCGTACGGCCGCTCCCCCGTGTGCGTGCGCTGGTGCGTCACGAGCACCGATCGCTGGGAGAAACGCTTGCCGCAGTCGGGGCAGGGAAAGGGCCGCTCGCCCGTGTGGCCGCGCCGGTGCTTGGCGAGGTTGGAGCGCTGCGCGAAGCCGCGGCCGCAGTCGGCGCAGCGGAACGGCTTCTCGCCCGTGTGCGTGCGCCGGTGCCGCTTGAAGTCCGAGCTGTGGCCGAAGCCCTTGCCGCAGTCAGGGCAGCGGTGCGGCTTCTCCTCGGCGTGCGCCCACTGGTGCCGGGTCAGCGCCGCGCTCTGCCCGAAGCGCCGGCCGCACTCGCCGCACGCGTAGGGCCGCTCGCCCGTGTGCGCGCGCCCGTGCGCGGTGAGATGCGCGCGCCGGCTGAAGCCCGCCCCGCACACGCCGCACACGAACGGCTTCTCGCCCGTGTGCCCACGCACGTGCGCCGCCAGGTGCGAGCCGCGTGCGAAGCGAGCGCCGCACTCCGGGCACGGGAATGGCCGCTCGCCCGTGTGCGTGCGCCGGTGGCGCGCCAGGTGCGAGCCGTACACGAAGCTTTTGCCGCAGTCGGCGCAGCGGTGCGGCCGCTCGCCCGCATGGTAGCGCTGGTGCTTGGCTAGCGCCGCGCGCCGCCCGAACGTCTTGCCGCAGTCGGAGCAGATCCACGGGCTCTCCTCCTCTGCCATCGCGGCGGGCGCGGGCTCCGCCAGCAGCGACCCCACGGTGGGCGCGAACGCTCGCAAGCCACCATCCGTCCCGACTCCGAGGCCCGCGCTACGGAACGGGTCACAAGCCAGCCCCGCGCCCTCCAGGGACAGCGGGGGGCACAGGGGGCCAGAGAGATGACGCCCGTCGACCTGCAGCCGTTCGGAGAACTCAGGGAACCCCAGTATGGGGAAGCCGTCTGGATGCAGCCAAGACTTGGGGTGCATGGGAAAGTGGAAGCCGAGCGGGTGCGAGGAAGGCCCTTCGCCCCCACTCAGGCCGTTGCCCATCTCACGGAACTGCCTGTCTGGCTCAGGGTCCTTCTTGCTATCGGGGACCGTCGCCTCTGCCGCCGCAGCTACCACCTCCTCGTCCTCTCTGGCTTCAGCCTCTGGGTCTCCGTCTGCCACATCAGGCCCCGGCTCTTTGGTCTCCTCGGGCCTGGCCTCCAGTTCTTCCGGCTCCGCTGTGGCTACAGCTGCTACTGCCATCTCCATCTCGTGGGGAGCCATCCCCGCACCCTCGCCACTGCTGGGTTCCGTGCAGCCGCCGCGCCGGTGCCGCTGGAAGTCAGCGCGCAGGCGGAAGGCCTGGCCGCAGTCCGGGCAGCAGTGAGGACGATCGGCGGTGTGCACAGCCTGGTGGCGAGCGAGCGCTGAGCTCTGGCTGAAGCTACGGCCACAGTGTAAGCAAGGGTAGGGCCTCTCGCCCGTGTGCGTACGTTGGTGGGTCACCAAGTAGGAGCGCCGCCCGAAGCCCGCGCCGCAGAAGGCGCAGCGGTAGGGCCGCTCGCCCGTGTGGATGCGCCGGTGCGTTACCAGGTGCGACTTGTAGACGAAGCGCTTGCCACAGTCCGGGCACGGGAAGGGCTTCTCGCCGGTATGAGTGCGCTGGTGGATGGCCAGGTGCGAACGGTACACAAAGCCCTTGCCACACTCCTCGCAGCCGAAGGGCTTGACCGCCGCATGGTAACGCTGGTGCTTGGCCAGGCGCGAACGGTGCAGGAACACTTTACCGCACACGTCGCAAGTGGTCTCCGGACATCCGATGGGGACAGCTGCTGCGGGAAATGCCCAGGGCGCCAGAAAATTCTCCCTAGGCTCCCGGCCAGACAGGAAATGTTTAGCTTCAACCTCCTCAGCCAGGATACCCAGGCTGCCTGGGCTGGGTCCCCAACCGTCTGGAGTCTGAACGGAATCTGAATCGTCGGGACCCCAAGTCCCAGGCACGTCCCCCACACCATAGGCAGCAGACCACAGCCCTGGGGGCTCATTCTCCTCCTCTGCCATTTCAGCAAGGAAGTCCTCGTCGTCTTCCTCCTCATGGTCCTCTATGTCATCGTTCCAGAACCAGGCTCCTGAAGGTGAAGAGACAAGAGGGTGAGGGCACAGGAGCTTGGCAAGAAAACTGGAACAAACCAAACAGACCTGCTTCAGTCAAGTCAGAGGTGGTGCATGCCATAGCCAGTACTGGCCAACTCCAAGGCAGGAAAGCCGCTGGCCTCCCCTCCCCCAGTGAGGAGGCCTAACATGCACACCTGGCCAGGAGAGCCAGGGTCTCTCTAGGGCATATCACTCTGTGGAGGACGGGAGCCTGCAAAGTGGGTGGTTTATCAGCAGATAAACTTGTGCACAGAGTGAAACCTGGGGCACTGCAGTCCCCAGACACCCAGCATGGCACATCCAGCCATGTCCTCTGCCCGGAGGACCCGCCTCTGTGGAACTTACTCCTCAATAAATCCCCTCTCCTTGCCCTTTACCAGTGGCCAGGGGTTCTCTTCTACTCTAGACAGCAGAATCAGGAACTGCTAGCCAGGGAAGAGCCTCTGGGCTCTCACCTTAACGAGGCCCCGGGAGCTGTGTATTTGGGGTCTTGATTCCTCCCCCTGCTGTGGGGTCACCCCAGGCTTCACTTTCTGAGCTCTGCATTTGAGAAACCCCAGGCCACCTGAGATTGTGTGTACTGTGAGCACCCCTGGAACTTTCTGCCACAGGCCCCTCCATTGAGATGCCTTCCTGGGGATGGTGTGGGCTCTAGAATCAAGTCTGTAGGGCCGCCCTGTTCAGGAAGTGAGCCTGTAGATAGAGCCACCAAGGTACACCCAGGAGACGCAGGGACACTGCCTGCACCACTGTGTCCAGGTGTTAGAGCACCTGTTCATCATCCCCACCTCAGCTCCCATCCACTTGATTCTGAGGGCAAAGTTCTAGACCACAAAGGCCAGGGGGTGGGCCAGGAAGTCCATGTCAAGTCTCGCCCTCCATCAGCCCTAGTTCCACACACTAGTGTAATTCCCCGGGGAAGACAGCATAATGCCACATCCATGAAGCAGAACGGCGAGGGCCTAACTACAGATGTGAACACACACGCTGTTCATATGAAAGGACAAGAAAACGGGGCACTTTATTTTTGCTTAGTCTGTAACACTAAATCGCCCACTATTCTAGTAATATATAATTTAGACGTTTTAGATGGAAAAATTTCTTAAGCTGAGTTTACCTCTAGCTGCCAACGTGGCACCAGAGGGACAAGAAGTGACAGAGGCCCTGTTGCTTGCTGGCTGGCTTCCCTTCTTTGTTCAGCCAGAACTTTCCAAACCTGGAACGGCAGGGGCAGCCCTGGGGCAGAGAGAAGCTGGCTGACAAAGACACCCCCTGGGCTCTGGTGAGAGGCTTGTGTAGTTTTTAACTAGAGTCCAAGGAAATCAGGGGGAGCTGATGGTAGGGGACGGATAGACCCCCTGGATCTCTGGGCCAGCCCGTGACTCTCCAGGAGCTTCAGAGTCTGGGAACAGCAGGGACAGCTGCTGTCGTGAGGAGTCCACTACGTGACGCTCTGCAGGGTGGGCAATCCTGAAAAAGGCCTAGGGATCTCACGGCTGCCTCGAGCTGGCATGGCCACTGCTCAGTGATATGAGGGAGGCCACCAGTGATGCAGGTGAAGCCCCACCCCTAGCCCTGGAGAAGTCAGCTGGCTCCACCCCATGTGAGACCTCAGGAAGCTGCTGAGCTTCTGGGGGAGAACTCCAAGGGAGACCAGCTTTAGTTCCTCATTCCTGTATTCAAGGTGTTTGCTCAAAGTTTAGAGGTATAGCCATGCAGTGTGCCATCTCAAGGAACAGCCTTTACACAGAGCTGAAGTCTGTCAGCCTAAGGTGAGGATCCAGAGGCCTGCTGTGAGACTTGACACTCAAACCCAGAGGGTGTGGTATGTTCTACACAGCTACAAGGAAGTGGAGAGGGCAGCACCCAGACCCCTGGGGAGTAAAGCAGGGATGGGGCTCCTTGCACCTAATGTTTGCCCAGAGATCCGACCACGGGTGAGGGTGATTAGGCCTCCAGGAAGAGGCAGGGCTCAGAGTCTACTGTCTAGACAAGTCACACAGCATTGCCACAGGACATCTTTACAGCCCACGTCCTGAGCTAGAGACACCTGGACTCTGGTGAAGGTTTTGGGAAAGATGAGAGGGCCAGGGCAGGAAGCTGAAACCCTCGGGATTGTGGGCTGTCACAGCTTCCCCCATTTCTGCAAACGTCACTCTCTCTCATGGTGGCTGTCAGTGTGAGCCTTACAGATTTGTCCCTTTGAAGCATAACACTGGGGATTTGTAAGCTCAAAACTAGCTCGTTCCACTGCGATCCACACCAGGGGATCTCCCATGGCTTAAGTCCCCAATCTGCTGGATCCCTCCAGAACTGCACAGGCCAAGCTGGGCCCTTGACCCAGCTCCTTTACTCCAGGGACCCTGCAAAGGACCATCCCCTCCAAGGCTAAGGCTAGGGAGCGAGGATGGAGGGGGGAAGCTGGCTGTCTTAGAGGCAGCCTATCAGCAGTTACAGAGAACCAGGGATCCTGACAAGGCATGGCAGGCACAGAGGTCCACAATCAAGGTGCCATTTTCTTTCCATTGACAACCAGGTCTGAGGTCCCCGAGTAATACCTGTACCTGTCTTCATGCTCCCCCCAAATCTCCACCTAGACCCAGAAACTGAAGATGAGCTCAGGCAGAGTTCCTTCCTGTATTGGGGACAGTCCCCAAGGGAGGAGGCACACCAAAAGGATGCCCAAGTCTATGGATGGGGCAGCCTCACTGAGGGTTGCCAGGAAGGTGTCTGAACTGCAGCCTGGGAAGGGAGCCAGCTTCTACACTGGTATCTGTCCTCTGTGCCAAGTGCTGGCCACGCTGACAGGTCTAGAAGCAGGAGGCCTTTCTCCTAGGATGGGCTCTGGGCTGCCCCTTGTTGCTGGTGAGTGGCCTCTAAGAGACCAGCAACGCTTTGGCCTTGATGTCCTCATGAGTAATGTATGGATTCAACACCAAGGCCCGAGTATTAAGAGGACCCAAGGCCTGCCTTTGTCACGGGGGTTTGGGAGGAGTAAGCATTCACTCACCCCATCAGAGCCTCCAGCACTTGGAAACCTGTCAGCCTCTTTGTCCCAGATGCTAAGAAGCCAGCCTCTCTGCCAGATGTTCCCTTCTTCCCTTCTACCTGCACTAAGCCCAGGGACCTAGAAACGACAGGGCTCAGAGCCTTGTGCCCTGGCTAGGACCAGAGGACTCTACTATCCAGGTTTCCTCCAGGGCATGGCTAAGTGAAACTCCAAGAGACCCTCTACGGTTCCTAGTTGTTCACAGCTGTGCGTCAGACTCTGCCTGCTGGGGGTGTCCATGCCCTGCTCCTGGCTTAGAGCCCTTTCCCCTTGCCACTCTCCCTTGCCTGTGTTCATCCATGCTACTAGATAACTGGTACTTGCTGTGTCTGCCCAGATGGATCCCAGCTGTCCAAAGGTTGGCAGTGTGCACTTTGAGATCAGTCTTGCTTAGGAAGGATCACATCTAGGAAGGACCCCCTGGCTGTGCTCACTTGCTGGTTATTGGAGTCTGACTGCCTCTTAAACTACATCACCATCTGTTAAACATCAATGTGTAAGCTGGTTCAGTCCTCAGTGGTGTGTTTCTTCCTATCCTTCCCTTTCAGAAACAGGGCTGAGTAGACACTTGCCACATAAGTACAGTCACCTGAGTTCACTTCCCAGCACCCACGTGAAAAGCCTGGTGCAGTAGTGCATGCTTGGGTAGACTCCTGGGGCTCGCTGGCCAGCCAGCCTAACCATCAAGGCCCAGATTCCAGTGAGAAACCAAAGCCTCCACAAGGGGACCGCTCCTGCTCCTGTGTTGACCTCCGGCCTCCATGCCCGCCTGTATACACATACCAAGAAAGGAAAAGGGGTAGAGGCCTCAGCAGAGGGAGTGGGTATGGCCCCACAGGGCCGGGTACTGCTCTGGGCAGCACAGCCTCTGGAGGCTGCTGCAAGGACAATTGCCAGGGGAGGATCTGTCCCAGAGCGAAGGGCCAGGCGCTCACAGATACCGGGAGCCAGAGCAGTGGCCCTAGGGCATGCCTTCTACAGCTGGATTCTCTGCTCGGGTGCAGACTGGAGGCAGGAAACAGGGTTAAGCCAGGGGCAGGGGTCTCTCTAGGACCATATGGGATGGAAGCTGGGTCAGGAGGGTGAGCTGGTTCAGACACTGCTGAAGTGAAGACTAGAAGGTGGTGGCCAGGGTTGCTAGGATTCAAAGTGCAAGAGGGCAAGTGGGACTCAGTATCACACCGAAGACGGCAACACCTGAGTGAAGAATGTGCCTGGGAGCCCAGACATCATGTCCAGCTGAGCTCACAAGGGGCAGAGGAAGGGAAATTAGAGCCTTGTCTTACAAGGCTGATTTAGAAGTCCAGATGGCCAGTCTTGGGACAGTTAGAATCTGTCCTGCCAGACTCAGCCGCTCTCAGGGCCCAGGTGGCCCTGCTGGACTGAGACGAATGAAAGGCCAGGCAGGGTGAGAAGGGAGGCAGGCACTCAACCGCTGGTGTCCTCAGAAGACCCGAGAGCTGCCCTGTGCCAGTGTCTCTCCCAGATCCCGCCATCTGCAGCCCCTGTGGGCAGTCATGTGACCCATCAAAGACATGACCTGGGGATCGCTCAGTGAGTAACGCATTTGCCCTGCAAGTATGACAACCTGAGTTCAAATCCCTAGAGCCAGTGGAAAGCCAGACACTGTAGCGCGAGTCTAACCCAGGCATCCTATGAGAACAGGAGACCACCCCTCCCCGCAAAGCTCCCAGGTCACTAGTGGGACCTATGTAGTGTTGGGAAATAAAGGCAGCCTCTCTCGGACAAGGCAGATGCTGAGGACTGACCTCTGACCTCTCACATAAAGGGTTTTGTTATGCTTGAGACAGGGTCTCCCTATGTAGCCCTGCCTAGCATCAAAATCAGATTCACCTGCCTTTGCTTCCTGAGCACTGGGCTTAAGATAAAACGTTTTAAAAGACGTTCATGTGTCCTGTACTGACCGTCTGCTGACAGGGCCAGGCTGAGAGACATCTCAGGCCTACAGCCTCAACACCATGGCTTGTCACAGAAGGCACAGAGCCACCGGCCCAGTTAACCAGTCCTCTCAAGGAGCGTTCAAGCCCCATCCAGATGCAGAGCCACATGTCACCTGTCATCTGGTGTCACCTGCACTAAAAAGGACCCTTCGAGAGAATGGCACACGACGGCGCATCTTGAACCTACACTCAAGGGTGGCCACTGTTGGCCTGTGCCCTGCTCTCTCTAAGCAGTTTCTCTGAATGTATCTATGAATGGACCACACCTCCCACTTGGTCCTCAAGTAACTCTACTTCTAGGCCTCGTGGGAAAGGCTAAAGAGTCCTCACTGCCCCCACTGAGCTACTGAGGGCTCACAGGCGTGTTACCAGAGTAAGGTTTTCCTCTTCTCATTTTAATATACATCTATAACTCCAAATTAGTTCAATGTCCCACCCTGGGCTAACACCCCAGCCTCAAGAGGGACACCCCCAGGCAAGGGCCTTCATCACTCACAGACCCCACGGCACATTCAGGAATCCAGCATTCTCAGGCAGAAATCTGTGGATTTAGTTCAGACTCTGTTCTCCATATGAAAAAAGTGGGGCTCAGAGTTGAACGGGCAGAGCCTGAGCCAGTGTGAGGCACCCAGAGAAGTCCAAATGCCAATGCCTTCTATCCACATCACCTCAGAACTCCCCCAGAGGCTTTAAACTGCTCACCCAGATCAGTATCTGAACGTCTGAGTTAAATCCCCAACTCACACATACAGAAACCAAACCAAAGTGGCCACACACTCACTGCAGGGGCAGAGATGGGCAGATCCCCGGAGCTCACTGGTCAGCGAGTTCACTCGATTGGGGAGCTTCAGACAGCAGTGACACCCGTCTCTAAAAACAAGCTGGACGGCTATGGAGGAAGTGGAGGGACTGAGGGGCACCATATGAAGAAATGGCCAAATGGGTGGGGCAGTCAGAAAATTGGTGAGTCTGCGCGTGGAAAGCCACACTGACAGTCTGGCAGGTGTCCGTGCCAGCTTGACAACTCCCCTCACTTATAGAAAAACAAAACCAAAAGACTTACAGGTTTAAAGATGAGAACAACAAAACCACTTAAGGTTCTTTCTCTAAGGACAAACTGGCCCTTAGACCTCGGTGAAGCTAAGGACTCGAGGTGATAGCAGGGGCCAGCACACAGTTGCCTTCCTGTCTCCTCAGCCACCCACACCCATGAGCACCGACAGCATCAGGGAGGCAGAGGGCTTGCCTTGGTAATCCTGCCAGCAGAATCCCCTCAAGACTCTCACTTACCTGTATAGACACCAGTGACAATGTCTCCCTCCTCAGGATGGGGGCTGTCTGGGACCCAAGGTTCATCTCCTTGTTCGAGGTGGAAGATCAGATCCGGCTTGGGAATTGGGTATCCTACCCAGGAGAGGGAAAGATGGTGGCTGTCCCAATGGAGTCCAGGCTATCCCTGTCCACACCCAAATCCTTTGCTCTCTACCCTCCAAGGACCAGCCCTTCCCACAACCTCTGCTCTGAGAGATCCTACAATCCGTCCCTGAAAGCCCTGCCTCCCACACCCACACCAGCAGGATACCCACACTTCCTCCTCCCACCTAAAGGCTTCTGGGGCTGTGCAGCTAAGAGGCCAAAGCGGACCACCAGCTTCATAGCATGTTTCCACCTGGTTTGGACCTCCGAACCCAGAGGCCAGAATGGTCTGACTGCTCCAAAACCAAGAAGCACGCTCTTCAACAGCTGGGCCCCCACAGTTCTCACCGCAGACTGCCTCGGGGTCCTTCCTTACCCAAGGAGACCAGGATCCCATAGTTCTCCTGCATTACTTCGCGGTAGAGGTCTCGCTGGTCCACATCCAGCCTCTCCCACTCCTCCAAAGTGAAGTGCACAGCCACATCTTCAAAAGTCACCAGCCCCTGAAGCACATAGAGCCCCAGGAGAGAGGTTGAGGGAACACTCTCCCTCCAACACCCACACGAGATAAGAAAACATAGTGGGGACATGGCCCAGCACCCCATTATTAATGGGACAGCCGTCTCTCAGGCCTCTCACCCTGTGACAGGGACCCATTTACTATCCATCAAACTCAGAGGGCAGGCCCCTCTTACCAGGGCCCCTCCTATGTCACACAGACTAGTCCTGGTAAATACCTTGGCTATACCGACAGGTTAGCGAAGGACGGGTGATACCAACTAAACTGAGTGTGGGTACTGATATCTGACCCAACAGCAGGAAAACAGACCCAGGAGGGGACAGTCATTCTAGAAGACTCCAACCTGACTTGGGAGTGGGCTGGGGACAGCCACGCCTAGTACAGTGAAGTGGGAGGTAGCCAGAGTACTCAGGACAACGTAATGGCCTGGGAAGGGCCAGGGACCTGGGAAAACAGAACTGTGTAAACCCTGGTCCTGGAAACGAAAGCCTTGTCCTCACTCAAGAGCCACAAGACAAAGAGGACCCAGGACCATGGCCGACCAGTGTATACGCAGTACACCTGAGTCAGGAAATGCTCATCCTCCTCCTCTTCCTCCTCTTCCTCTGGATCTTCATCCTGAATAGCAGGTGAGACCCGGGAGGCCTGCAGGGCTGAGAGGAAGATTGTTTAGGGCCGGTGGCGCCTGGCAGGCAAGCAGGGTGGTACTCCCAGCTACTCCCATACTTTACGCCCAGGTCCAGTCCCCACCCTCATGACCCCAGCCTCTTCCTTCCCCCAGCAGTGGTGGGCTCCTTGTTCCTACCTTTCCCTTGAAGGACTGGCGACTTAAGATCACCACCGTTGCTTAGCTGCTCCTGGGTCCCCAAGCTCAGCCTCTGCTCCTTTGCCAGCCCCTCCTCCACACTGTCGGCACCAGCAGCGTCCTCTGAGTTAGCCTCCACCTCCACCTCCTGGACCTGTGTGGCCACTTCCTCCTCTTCCACTACTACCTCTTCTGCTTCTTCCTCCCCTTCTGCCTCCTCTCTCCCCTTCTCCTCCTCAGCCCCATCCTCGTCAGGGTCAGCATCGCATTTTGACCCATCTTCTGCAGGCTCCAGCTGGGTAGCTCGGGAGTCTGGAGTAGTGTGAAGGGCGGCCATCAGCCCTAGGAGAGAGCCTCTGTGTGGCCTGAAACACAGAGACACTTTGGAGGGGAGGCCGCCAGGGCTGAGGGAGGACCATGGTCTGTCTGTTATCTCAGGCTGTGCAACTTGGCACGTGATTTATCCAGAAAGCCCACCCAAAGGGCTCCTCCCCACAATCCTCTGCGACATGGCTTCTGTTCCCTCACAAGCAGCCATGTGTCTTGTGTGAGCTGCAACCTGTTCTTGGGTAAGTCACCCATTACTGCAACCCATCTACCCTCAAGGAGGAGAAGCAGGGAGCGCAGTCAGCAGAGCCCCAGGGATCCATGTGTACGAATGGGCGAGCCTGTCCCACATAGAAAGCAAGAACGAGCAGCTTACCCAGCCCTCAGCACACATGAGCCAGGTCAGGCGGAAGCACTGTCAGACCACAGGCCCCTGTGCAGCTGCAGGAGGCGGGGTGGGGTACAGGATGGAAGAGTGTCTTGCTTCGTCTTGTCAGGGGAAAGGAGAGAGCGCCCAGCAGTCAGCAAACTCTCAGGCCCCTTCCTGGGAGTCAAATGAGAGACAGGGCCATGAGCAGGGGTCATTCTGCTGCCTATCTTTCCTGACTCCAGGGTGTTGTGAAAACCTCAGCCAGTTGGGGAGGTGGAGTCCCGCTCATCACTAGGTCAGCACAGGTGACGTACAAGGTGGCACTCCTTCAAGTTCAAGGAGAAGAGAATAAGAATGGCTGAAATGTCATCACCTTGGAGACTCACAGGGTCCTACTACCCCAGCGATGTCACTGACTCAGTCCAGCTTCACCTGGCCTGAAGCCTAGAGCCATGGGCTTAAGGGGACATCCCCAAGGGTCCTACAGCCACTAATCCAGCCCATGTCTACAGAGAACCAGTCCAGTGAATCTCAAACGCTGGGCAGTTATGTTTTATCTATTTGTGGCGTTGGGGGTGCATGTCATGTCAAACATGTGGAGGGGGGGACACCTTGCAGGAGTCAGTTTCTCTCCTTCCTCCCCACTGGGTCTCAGGGATCAGACTAGGTCATCAGGCTTGGCAGCGAGTACTGTTGGCTGTTGAGCTAGCTTACCGGTCCACTGTGGTTTTCAAGAATTCATTCCTATGATCTTTCACCATCATGACACTCCATACCTCCCGTTAGTATCTCAGACCTGAATGGGACCATTTTCAAAAGTAGGGCAGGCCACCCCAGAATGCTGAGTTCCAAAAGATCCAGAAATGCCAGGCTACACCAGACACTGGAGCCACCTCAGTGGACAGCACTGCCTCGGGATGCTGGTAAAGATGCCCAGGGCCATGAGAAGTCACTGTGCCTGGCATTCCCATGGACACACCTGAGCGGCTGGCTCCGACCAGGCTCACCTATACCCCATCCCCTTTCTGTTCAGACATCTGCTTCCAAACCTATGCTCTGGAGGTTGCAAGATGGCTCAGCAGTTAGAAGCACTGGCTGCTCTTCCAGAGGGCATAAGTTCAATTCCTAGAATCCACATGGTAGCTCACAATCATCTGTAACTCCAATTCCAGGGGATCCTATGCCCTTTCTGACATCTGTAGGCACCAGACATACAAGTAGTACACAATACATACAAGGAGGCAAAACACTTATACACATAAAAAATTTAATTAAAATCTATACTTTGGGAGGTAAATCCTGCTTTGCATGCATGAAAACCCGAGTTCGCTCCCCTGAATGTCAAAGTTGGGCCTGATGGTACACACCTCTAATGCCAGCACTATGAAGACAGAGACAAGAGATTCCATGGCATTCGCTGGCCAGACAGTGTGGCCAACACAGCAACTGAGGACACCTAGCATTGACTTCTGGCCTCCACATACATTCATGCACACTTGCACACACATAAACTGGGACGCACTCCATACCCTAAGAAAACAAACAGAAATGAGCAGTCAAAAAGTCAAAACAAAATAAAAAGAACCCTGTACATTAGCAGCTAGACTTCTCTGAGCATCCCTGCCCATGCCAATCCCCCCAGTCCAAGGGCTGGAACTCCTGACATCCAGAAGTCCCCTCTGCTGTGACTGTCTGTTCCCCCAGCACTGCATCAAAGATTGAAGCCACAAAACTAGACCTAAGTAAGAGGACCACCAGAGCCCTCCAGGGCTTTTTGGGTTGGAAGATGCCTGAAGGGTAAGAACACACACGCCTTGGGCCATCCTGGCCAGCACCCAGGGGCACTGAGAACACTAAGGGAGAGATTTCCCAACCACCACCCACCTCAGACCTAGAGAGGGCCTTTGCTTATTCAAGCCTAAGGCTGTAGATCAAGCTGAACCCAGACATCCACAGAACTAACTCCCAACTGGTCACCACCTTGGGCTGCTACTCAAGACTTCCGCAAGCCAGACTATTGTCTGTAAGGACCCAAGAAATGAAAGCTGGGGCTGTGGAGGAAATTCAGTTAGTCAAAATGCTTGGCCACACAAGCATGAGGACCTGAGTTCAATCCTCCAGCAGCTGTCGGGGAAAGGGGGGGGGGGAGGGATGCCAAGCACAGCACTGTCTATCTGTAAACCCAACCCTGGCAGTGCTGGCCAGGCAATGGGAATTGGGAAGCTCCAGGTTCAGAAAGACACTGCCTCAAATATGGTGGACAGCGCCTAAAGCAGAGACCTGATGCCGACCTCTGTCACCTACACACACACTTGTGTATATGCATGTACGTGCACAGACGCTCACACAAAACTGTACAGATACTATTCACAAAGAGGAGGAGGAGGAGGCAGCCCATCGAGGCTACCTCTCTTCCCAGGCAGCATGCACGTTTTCTTTACTAAAGATGATATAGAGTCCCCATTTTCTTCCCCCTGGGTCCCCATGCCAGACACACAGCAGTCACGCCAGACCTTACTGAAGACAGGGCCCGAAGATCATAGTCAATGACCCACATTTCAGTTTGTTTTGTTTTTTTAAATCAGAGGCAGGGCTCAGCTGTCACACTCCACAGAAGGCCAACCACAGACCGAGGGAAGGATACATCAAACTAAAATCCACCCCAGAAGCAGTGGCGAGTCTCTGCCTCCAAAGAGGACAGTGGGTAATATCAAATTCGTGCACTAGCCCAATGATGGTTACTGTTATGCACTTGACAGGATCTGGAATCACAAATGAGACGCCTCTGGGGTGTCTGTGAAGGAGTTTCTAGGTCAGGCTGATCGCAGTAGGAAGATCCTCTCTGAATGATACCATCCCCTGAGCTGGGGTCTTGGACTGAATAAAAGAAGCAAGGGAGCTGAGTACCAGCATTTTTCTCTGTCTGCTTCCTGACTGTGGATACAATGTGACCAGCTACCTCAAGCAATGATCTGTGCCTTTAAACTGTGAGCCTAGCAAAAGCTTCCTCTCTGAAGCTGCTTGTCAGGTCAGGGCAAGGAGAAAGAAACTATTAAAAGCCTCCAAGGTTGCTGGGTGGTGGTGGTGCACGCTTTTAGTCCCAGCACTAGGGAGGTAGAGGCAGGTGGTTCTCTGTGAGTTCGAGGCCAGCCTAGTCTAGAGTTTTAGGGCAGCCAGGGCTACACAGAGAAACCCTGTCTCAAACCCTCCCAAATGAGCCCCTCCACCCCCCCAAGAATCCTCTAAGGTTAGCAGTTCACAGGAAGAAAGGACAGAAGTCAAGAAAAGCCTGACGCTTCAGGCACTTTGACCTAGGCCTATTCCTAACAAAAGTTCTGAAAACCAGTCTGACCAGGGGTAGGTCAGTTCAGAGGCCTACAACTCGGGCCCAGGGGGCTCCCCACCTCCCCGGATATTCCCACCCCCACCCACCCCTAGCCAATCAGTCCCCAGAGAGCTTTTCTCCTTACCTCCCCTTGACCTCCCATCCTAGATCAGAACACAAGAGACAAGTTCATGGCTTTGTCATGCAAAAACCCTGCGTCACTCCAACCCGTCTTTCCCCGGAGCCTTAGAGGGCTTAGCAGACACAGAAAGGGGCGGGGCCCTGTCCATAAGAAGGGGATTTGCAAACACAAGTGGTAAAGTTTGAAAAGCCAGGAGCTCCAGAAAAGTTCCAAATCCAGGGGAACCCACGCGAAGGCGCATGTCTGTGTGTGCACATGCATGCACATTTGTATCCAGTTACCTTCATTGCAGCTCGGTGCCCCCCACTTCAAAGGACTTCAAAGCCCTTCAGGACTTTTTTGTCCAGGTTTTCTTTCCCTGTTCTCTACAATCCTCACCTTCTGCCGGGTTTCCGGAGCCCTGACTCTCCAGGGTTACTCCTGGAGGCCATTCAAGATCCCCAGATCAAGCTCCTCAACCAGACCTCCCCGCAAGACCGGCCAGTAGCTACTGAACCAAAACAAAGTGCTAACGCCACCCACTGAAGCTGAGTAGGTGAGCTGATCCTCGCTGGTACCTGCACCTCCTCTTTCCCTCCTGTGTCCACATGAGGCACCCTCAAATCCAACAACCCGCGGGATGAGTTGCCCCACCCACCTCGGGGGCAACAGACTTAGCAGACAGGCACCCAGTCAGTCTCTATCTGCAGACGAAGCAGACTGGACCATGGCCCCCAAATGTCACAAAGCCGGCTTTAGGACGCCAACACAGAGTGCTTCCCTCCTCCACTTCCCTATAGGGGGTTACCTAGGATTCGTCTCCCGCCCGGGTAGGAGTGCTGACAGCCCTTCTTGGAAGGTGTCTCTCCGCCCCTGAACTGGAGGAGGCGGCGCTGGCACCTTCCAAAGGTGCAGCGCAAGTCGTCTCCGGCCCGCCCCCTCCCCACGCTGGAGTCTATGCCCCCTCGGGGTGGGAGGCGAGTCAAGCCATCCGTGACGTGACGCGGAGGCCCAGGCCGGTACGGGGGTACCTAGGGGCCTGGAAGATCCAGCTCGTGCAGCTGCAGCTCCGACCCATCCAAAGACAGGCCCGGGAGCCCCGCGATCGCCCCATGACCACTCGAGGCCTCCAGCGCCCGGGCATCCAGGACGGCCAGGCTCGCCGCTGCCACCGCCCCCAGCGCGCGCGTCCCGCCCGCGCGCACCTGCCGCGTCCTCACGCCCCACTCACCGCGCGCGCGCCCGAGGCCCGGCCAAGCCGGAGCGAGACACGGACTCGGGGGCGGGGGCTGTGACCACCGGGGACACCCCCCCCCCGCACTACACAAAGTGACGGCCGCGAGCTGCGCGACGGCGAAGGAGGCGGCGGCGCGTGGGTACCGGAAGTGCCGCCCGCCGGCCCCGCCTTGTCCGCGCCCACCGGGGGGGCACTTCCGGTCATGGGGCATCACTACGGAGTTCTGAGTGCAGATAGTGGGACTGCCGCGACGACCCTCCATGTGCGTGGAGGATGCTCGTGGCTACTCATGGTGAGCATCTCTGGACTCCCTGCTTCACTCCGCCGCAAGAGACCCCTGCCCACCCTTGGAGATGTCCACGATGTCAAGCCCAAGCGAGCATCCTTTCCTTCCAGACCACGGCCTAGGTCCTCGGCGGTGCGTGTCAGGACGTGTCCGGAGCCCGTCCCCCTGGTCACAGGTCTCTTCGTGGAGCTCACGGTGTGGAGAAGGGTGCTGACCCCTTGAGGATATCCAGGCAGCGGCGCGTGTCTGACCCTGACATGGGCAAGGGTGTGACCAGGAGGTTGATCCCTCTTTGATCACCCACAGCTCACCCATACTGCCTTCTGGCATCGCTTTTGTGTGAAGGGTGCTGACAAAGGTGCGGCAAGCAGGGGGTCAGCCTGTTGGAGCCATGAGGGGTTCCTGTCGGCTATAGTAGTCAAATGAACAAAAGGTTCATTTGATTACTGTTGATTCACTTGATTACTGTTCTGACCCGTCATCCCCAGGCCTGGCATGAATAATGGGTAGTGGACTTGCAGTGGCCTTAGACAAGTTCCATGCTATATCCATGGCTATTTTGGGCAGTGCTCTGCTGCCCCACACAGGACACCTATGTTCTGAAGTCCCTGGACCCTGAGCCTGCTGGCCACCTAAGTCTGGAGCTGATTGCCCCAGGTACCAGGTCTAGCCTCTGCCCCCTCCCTCGTCTTCAGCCTCCTGTCACTTACATTGAGAAGACCTTGTGAAATGCTTGTGGTTTTCTTGTTAGACCATGTAGCCCGGATGCTATGGAGTAAAGGCCCGGGTGGCTCTCTGGCTGGCTTTCTACCCGTGGTTCTTTAGGAACCAAAACCTCACCCCTGTTTGCCTGTACACATGCAGGCACAGAAGGAAGGAAGGTCCCTGTCTCTCATTTCCCTGGGATGTGTGTCCCCATGTGTGCACGTGAGCTATCTCCGTGATGACACTCTTACACGCCCTGGTTTCTTACACAGACTGATTACCTAGCAAATCACCTTCCTCTTGCAGGTGATGGGTGTGTATACCCCCGCCACGTGCCTTGCTTTCCTCAGTCCCCATGTTCTCAGGCCCTGTTGTCAAGTGGGCAGGGCACAAAGGGGAAACAGATCTTAAAATGGGGGCCATGATTATAAAAACCATGCAGTCCAACATGGCAGTGCAAGCCTGAAGCCCCAGCTACTCTGGAGGATCGTGAGTTCTAGGCTACAAAGGGAGTTCAAGGCCAGCCTGAGCAACTAGGAAGACCTAGCTCCAAATGTATTAAAAGCTGGGAGGTAGCTTACCAGTACTGAACCTGCCTAGAGTCCCCCAGTGAGGGCCTGGAGTTGTGGCTCAGTGGCAGGCAGATTGCCTAGAATCCCCCAGTGAGGGGCTGGGGTGTAGCTCAGTGGTAGAGCCCCTGCCTAGAAACCACTAATGAGGATCCGGGGGTGTGAACCAGTGATAAAGTGCTTACCCAGCTTGCCCAAGGCCTCAGATTCCATCCCTAGCTCCTTCAAAATCAAAACAAAACAGATAAGACATCAGTATTCCCTATAATGGATGGTTGGAATTAGAGTGGAACTTGAGGTCACTATTTTGGAGAAGGGAATAAAGAAAACAGGTGTTTTTAGCTCACAGTTTGGAGACTGGAAGTTCGAACAGCCTGGCACAGACTCTGGTGAAGGATCTTTGCTACCTCAGACTGTCAGGGGGAGTGTGTGCGCACACGCTGATACCACTCTTTTTGTTTTGTTTATTTGAATGACTCGATGTGGTGTGACGGCTAGTCATGGTGCTCGTCAAATTGACGCACTTGGAAGAAGAGCTCTCAGTTGAGGGATTGCCTCCATCAGGTTCGCCTGTGGGCCATGTCTCTGCATTTTCTTGATTGCCAATTGGTGTGGGAAGGCTCAGCCCACCGTGGGTGGTGCCACCCCTAGGCAAATGGGCCTGAACTGTATAGGAAAGGTAGCTGAGCAAGCCAGTAAGCAGTATCCCTCCACGGTTCCTACTTCGGTTCCTGCCTTGAGCTTCTTCCCTTGGCGATGGACGGTAACCTGTCAACAGAATAAACCCTCCCCTTCAAAGATGCATTGGTGAGAGTGACTTACCACAGCATCAGGAAAAGTATCCAGAGCAGACAGCCTTGCCGTGTAGCCCAGGCTAGCCTCGACCTCGAGATCCTCCTGCCAGAGCAGATAATCTCACTTTGTAGCCCAGGCTAGCCTTGACTTTGAGAGCCTCCTGCTCCCACTGCTGGGATTCTGGGTATGCTTCCACCTGTCTGCTGTCACTTTTGACAAGAGATGAATGTAGATATGCCAGAGGTTTGCCTATCACCTGCCAGACTAGAACCCAAGGAAGGGGACAGGAGCATGTCTCACTCTATGGGAGACAAAAGCCGGTGATGGGTTTCTGAGGAAGAGGAAAGACGGTTGAGCCCGCCCATATCGTGGACTGGTCCAGCTGCCACCAGATGGATACTGAGCTAGCAGAGAGGGAATTGGCAGCCTGCCCGTGGACTAGACTTGCCCAGGCCTGTGCACCCCAAGAGAACAGAAGCAAGAGAAACAGATGTGGAGCTGGGGAGATGGCTCCCTGGTAAGGGCTTGCCACGGAAGCACAGAGGCCTGGGTCTCATTCTGAACACCCACATAGAAGCTGGGCCTGGTGATGCATGCTTGTACTCCTCGTGCCGATAAGCAGGGATAGAAGGATCCCTGGAGCTCACTGGGTGATACCCAGGCCCCAGTAAGAGACTCTGACTCAAAAAATAAAGTGGGGACTGGAGAGATGGGTCAGGGATTAAGGACTGTACTGTCCTTCCAGAAGACCCGAGTTCATTCCCAGCACCTACATCAAGTGACTCACAACCACCTATAACTCCAGCCCCAGGGGAACGCACACTGCTGACCTCTGTGGGCACTGCACTCATACACACACATGCACGCGTGCGCGCGCACACACACACAATTAAAGGTATTAAAATCTTTTAAATTTTTAAAATTAAATAAAGTGATGGCTCCTGAGGAAAGACACCCAAGGTTTCCCTCTGACCTCCACAGGAACATGAGGAACATGCAAACACATGAACACACTCAAAAAAATAAACTCTAGTGCTTGGGGATTTGGCTCAGTGGTAGAGCACTTGCCTAGCAAGTACAAGGCCCTGGGATCTGTCCTCAGCTCTGAAAAGAACAAAAAGAAAAAAAAATAAGGTAAATGAACTATAGTGGTGGTGAGGAGATACCTCCACTGGGGAACAGCTGTCCCTCATCCTGAGCTCAGACTGCTGCACGGTGTCACCAGCAAACATAAGGTGTTGGAGGGGGGTGTCACAAAGCAGTGAAGGGCACACAGCCCAACCCCTCAGGGAATCAGATGACTGACCACACACACACACATGCATGCAGTCCCACACAAAGGGCTGAGACAGCAGAGTCAGGTGGGTCCCTGGACCTCTCTCACACTGGTAGTGCTCCCCCAGCCTGACGGACCAGAGAATGGGACACAGTAGGCCCTGGGTGAGAGCCCCAGGTGGGAGTCGGTATGATTCAGGGAGCCCTAGCAGGGTGGACAGCAGAAAGGTTATGGGGGTGTGATGTGTCACTTCTGGGGAGCAGCAAGAAGGCATCTAAAAACCGTTGAGGTGGTGCAGGGGCCAAGTGGGCAAACCCTGCCATGCAAGCCTGCAGCCCTGAGTTCAGCTCCTCAGCACCCACAGACAGTCAGGCACAGTGGCACGTGCATGGAATTCCAGCACAGGAAAGTGAAGATGAAAGACTCCCTGGGGCTTGCTGGCAGCCAGTCCAGACAAACCAGCAAACTCTACGTTGTCTTAAATAAGCAGAGAAGAGGAAGAGGGGGGAAGAATGATCAACCAGTCCAGCTGAGGAAGTGAGCTCCAAAACTCAGCAAGAGACCCTGCCTCAAAAACTAAGGTGGAGGCTGAGCAAGGGAACCCAGCATCAGCCCCCGGTCTCCACATGGGCGTAGGCACACACGCGCAAGTGTGCCTGTGAGAGCACAGATACACACAGAGAAGATTTCGATGGATTCAGTGACAGGCTGTGAAGATGAAACCTGCTCAACAAGAACCAGACCCCTCTTTAGGACCCCGAGTGTCCCCAGTCTGCGATGTGGTCCGTTGACACCCGCATGAGAAACAGGGACTCCATCTTCCCTTCAGATCGTGCCCCGCTTCCTGCCCCAGTCCTCAGCATGTCCACCTCTGCCCTCCGCTGCTCTGCCCAGGCAATCAAATCCATTGTAACATCCCCACCGGGAGTGGCCAGTGGGGTGGAAAGGAGGGCCAACAGCCCTTGCTGGGTATGAGGAGGGTGTCTGAGAGCCCACCAGAGAGGATTGGACCAATTCCAGGCCTCCGCAAAGAAGCAGAAAGGAACAGGCCATGGTGGGGGATCTTGCCTGAAGACAGAAAAATGTCCAAGGGGCCTCTGTACTTCTGTGCCATCTTTATCCAGTTGTAGTAGAAATCTTGTCCAGTCGGTTTATCTGGAAGCTCCATCTTCAGTATCTGGTGAAACTCTCCCACCACCCCAAAGTGATTGCTAGCTCGTCACCCTGACCTGCCTCCACAAGTACCATCGCCAGTCTGCTTAACCAGAATCCTCCATTCTGTCTCTTGACATCTGCCCCTCCCCCAGCTCCTTGACAGTATAGTCCATGTAGTGTTCCTAGTTAAGCTGGTCTGTCCCCAGATCTCTGCTGCCTGAGTTAAATGTGAATTTTGCACTTTAACATTCTGTGTTTTTTTGGGGGGGGGTTGTGTGTGTGTTATGGACACACAGTGTGTATGCATGCTCAGAAGCCACAATAGGATGTTGTCTGTTCTACTCTAGCACTCTGGCTTAGTCCCTTGAGACAGGAGCTTTCCCTGAATCTGGAGCTAAGTTGGTAGCCATCAAGCCCCAGCAATCCTCCTGTCTCCACTCCTTATGGCTCTGGGGTTACAGGTATGTGTACGGCCATACTCGGCTTTTTATGTGGGTTCCAGTGATTCACACTCAGGTCCTAATGCTTGTGTAACATTTCCCCAGTTCTAACGAGTGTGTGTGTGTGTGTGTGTGTGTGTGTGTGTGTGTGTGAAAGAGACAGAGACCCAGAGAGAGAAAATCCACTGTAGCTAAGACTATCATAACTGCCCCCACTTCCTGAGTGCCGGAATCCCAAGCATGTGCCGCTGTACCCAGTTTATGAGGTGTTGGGCTCCTTACATGCTAGATAAGTCCTCTACCAACTGAGCTACATCCTTGCCACAAGCATTGTAATTTCTTTTTCCAATTGGCATTGCAGCGGCTGGAGAGATGGCTCAGTGGTTAAAAACATTTGCTGCATTTGCAGAGGAGTCGGATATGGTTCCCAGCACCCATATGGCAGTTCAAGCCATTTGTAGCTGAGCTGGTTCC